CCCCACCCCTGCTCTCCCATGGGGGCCTTTTCATGGGATCCCCTCCCTGCTACTCCCAGTCAGGCCTGGGCGACAGGTCACCGCGGGACTTGGCTTGACCCCACCAGAGGGCAGGGCCGTAGCCTGTGGTTCCTTTCCTCAGAGAGCCCTTCATTCCCACTTCCCTCTCATGGCCACTAATTAGCCGTGGTCCAGGCTGGTAATGGTTTCTTTGTGCTCCGGCGGGAAGAGCAGCACAGAAGACAGCGGCCTCACTGTCCCCCGCAGGGCAGGGGCTAGGTCCCCCCTCACTTCCGAGTCCTGCTTTGAGTCTTCACGGCCTCTCACTTGGGCTTTTCCTCCACAAAGTTAACGGTGGAGGTGGCTGGCCGAGCCCCGCCGCCTCAGGATGCCGGTGGGAGTGTCTGTCAGCGCGGGGGCCACGGGGAGAGCACAGTAGGGCTGCAGGAGGACATGAGCGGGTCACTGCGTCCATCCCTGCTTGCCACTCTAGGTGCCCACTGCTCCTAAGTCAGCTCTGAACTTCCACGGCCAAGGGACCAGCCCCGCTACCCCGAGCCCCTCTGCCCTCTGCTCCTTGCCCCTGGACACACAGTGTCCGTTACCCCATCACTGACCAGTGACCTTCTCCCCAGTGACCCTCTGCTTTGGTGCTGTGCTCTTTGTCCTCAAAGAGCCCCACCAGGCCTCCCCAAATCAGGTTTTGGGCCCAGAAAGCACCCAGCTGCAGGTTCCCAGCTGGGCCACCCTGCGATGCTCCTCAGCTGGGTGTCTGAGTCGGAGGCAGGTGCAGCCACCGTGCTTTTCCTCACCCCCTCAGTGACGTCAAGGTCCCTGAATGGAGTGTGTAGCCAGGGCTGAGAGCTCTGCGTTTAATTTACGGTCTGGAGCTGATGCCAGTGGGAAGGGGTGCAGAGGGCATGGAGGCTGAGCCTGTCACCCCTAACAGATGCACAGCACAGAGCGAGGGANCTGATGCCAGTGGGAAGGGGTGCAGAGGGCATGGAGGCTGAGCCTGTCACCCCTAACAGATGCACAGCACAGAGAGAGCGAGGGACCATGCAGGCCAGTGCGTGTGCGTGTGCGTGTGCGTGTAGGAAAGCCGGGTTCAGGGCTATATATGAGGGCGGAAAGGACGGAGAAGCTATGGTCCAGCCCTCGCCGTGTGTGGGGTGAAGGAGCCCCGGAGCCCTCAGGAGAGATTCCATAGTCACCGAGCGAGGCGGCACCCTGAGAGCGGGCTGGCAGGATCCCAGGGGTGGGGCACCTGGTTCGGCTGGGAGCCCCATGCCAGCGCTGGGGCGGGGCGGGGGAGCTTGGCTTGCCAGGGACAGAAGAATGGGGTTTCTGTGCTGCTTATCAGGATGGTGGCTCCCGGACAGGATGTGGCGGAGGCTTCCACAGCCCGCCTGGTGGACGGCCGCAGTCAGTGCTGCGTCACGGCGAGGACTTTGACAGGGAGCCCCACCTTGACCTGCTGGTGACATTGGGCTGGCCGCTCTCCAGGGTCAGGCTGGGGATAAGTCACACACTTGCCTGTGGACCTGAGGGCAGGTGGTGGCAATGGACAGCGAGCCAGCCACAGCGTGCTGTTTCCACATCTGGCGGGGGCCTCGCAATCTGCCCAGACCCTTGACCTTGCTCATTGGAAGATCCTCTTTGGGTCTTTGGTTCCATCTGGTCAGGTCTTTCTGCAGCCGAGGAGATATTAGGGCAGAGATCAGCAAACAGCAGCCCATGGGCCTAATCCGGTCCACCACTTGACTTTGTAAATAAAGTTTTATCGGAACACCGCCACTCATCCGCTCACATACTGGCTGCTCTTCCGCTACGACAGAGTGGAGTTGCAACAGAGACCAGTGGCCCTCAGAGCCCAAAATACTTACAGTCTTTCCCTGTGTGGTGCCTGTGGGTTACGGGATGAGGTCAGAGCCTGTCTGAGCCTTTACTCTCTCAGAAGTAAAAGGAGAGAGCTGCCTGAGAACACAGGCGGGGGTCCGAGTGAGCCCGTGGGAGAGGCCGGCAGGCGCCCTGTGCGGACATGCCGTGGGCCAGGTGGGCCAGGTGTCCTCTTGCCTGTCCACTTCATTTCATGGACAGTTGTCCTCAGTGAGTGACCTATCATCCCTGAGATACCAGACATTTCCTTTATTAAAAAGCTAATGATAATTTTTCAGACGCCCTCACTTTGCCGAGCGGATGTGTGGATGTTGAGGGGAAGCATGAAGCTGTCAGGAAGGGACAGGATGTGGGTTCATTAAATGAACCACCTGCAAGCTGCATGCTTGTAAGTCCAAGACCCTGCTAGGGCCGGTCTCTTCCCACGCGTCTCCCTGACCTGACGGCCACAAGGAAACATTGACCCCAGAGCCTCCTGTATGTCTGGGGCTCTGAGCCCCTCATGAAACGTGTGCATGAGTTGGGGGATAAAAGAAAACACAGGCCGAGGTTTAAGCCCTCAAATGAAAAGGTTAAATATTAAACACTGAAGATCGTCCCCGGGCCTCTTTGCTGGAAGATAGAACAGGAGACTATGACCAGAGCTGGTCAAATGGGACCTTCCAAGGCAGCAAGTGTGTCCCTGTCTCAGGAGCCTGGGGCAGTAAGCGGCAGGAGGTCAGGATGGAGTTGGGTGGATTCCTGTTAGCGGCAAGAGGGACAGACGTGAGCAAATGGGCCAGAAAACCAAGTGACAGTGGGGCTTCCCTTTTCTCTCTAATCCACCCACAACCCTCTGGGCCACGTGCCCAGCATTGCCTGCCAAGTGGCACCCCTCCTCGCGCCTTGAGATCGGTAGTGATCAGATGGGGCCTCCGTGGAGGGGCTGCCCCACGGACCTGTGCAGCCAGGGTAGATGCTCCAGCACCGCCTTCCCACCGCATTCAGACTGACCCCAGTGCTTTACTTACTCTGAAGGCTGACATTGTTTCCCTGCAGTAGTTTGCAGTGCGCCTCACGAGGGCCCTTCATTGACGCGCGTGCCTCTCCCCCTGGGGTCACACGCTGCACTTGCACCCGTCTGTCTCATTCAATTGCTCCCTCTCTCTGCACCCCAGTACCTGGTCTGTGCACAGAGCAGTCTCGCAAGGCTTGGCTCTGACCAGCTGACCAGCTTGCACAGCACGGTGTCCTGCAGAGGCGGGAGGAGAGAGGACCGTGGTGAGCACCATGGGGGCCCGGAGCAGTGTGATGCCAGGTTCAGACCAACATGGAGAGTCCACGGGGAAGCGAGCCTAGGCCTAGGAGAGCTGGGTCACTGTCTGATTGTGCGTCAGGACTCTCTTGTTCCATTTCTGAAGTTGCTTCTCAATAAAATGTGATGTATCGATCTCTGCACCATCAGGGAATGGAAACCAAAGCGTGCTGAGCACCTGATCTGTGCTAGGAACCCTCTAGGCATTAATGAGGTCACTGGGTCACAGCGATCCTTCCTGGCAGATGCTATGACCCCCATGTCACCCCTTCCACGTTATAGACGAGGACCTGAGGTGTGGAAAGTTGAGTGGTTTGTGCAGAGTTGTACGGTTAAGTGGCAGAACGTGGGCCATCCTGACACCCAGCCAACATGTTCCCTGCTGCACTGTGGCTTCATAAACATGGGGTGTCCCTGGGGACCAACGATAGCATGAAGGGGTGGCGGATCCATGTCACCCCCTCCCTCTCCTGTGCCCTTCTCCTACACACAGACCCTCACCTCTCTCCTTCCTCCGCCTGCCCCTGCTCTCGCCTGGATCGCTAACACCACAGGATGCCCAGGGCTGAGGCTGGGGCTCCTGTCCTCAGAGTGCTTGGTTCTGGACGGCCACCCTCATGAGCCTTCTTGGTCTTTCAGGAACTTGGCCATCGGAATCGGGATCCAGAACTTCCCCGAGGGCCTCGCGGTCAGCCTTCCCTTGCGAGGGGCTGGCTTCTCCACCTGGAGAGCCTTCTGGTAAGTGCTCCCGAGCGTCCCGTGTCAGGGGCCCGGGTTGCGGCTAATGTAGAGCTCAGAGCAGTCGTGTGCCGGCTACCTTCTTCAAGGACCACCTCTCTGACCTGGCAGCAAGTCTGGTAAAATGCCCACGGGCCGGCAGAATCCCCGCGGACAGCCACGCCGTGTCCATTCGGTGCGTGTCTCTGGTCTCTCCTCAGGTATGGGCAGCTGAGTGGCATGGTGGAGCCCCTGGCCGGGCTCTTCGGGGCCTTCGCCGTGGTTCTGGCTGAGCCCATCCTGCCCTACGCCCTGGCCTTCGCCGCTGGCGCCATGGTCTACGTGGTCATGGATGACATCATCCCCGAAGCCCAGATCAGGTGGGAGAGCTGCCCCCTTCATCTGTCCCTGTCGCCATCCCAGGCCTGGCCCCAGCCTCCAGTTCTGCCCTTTTTCCATTGGCCGCTCCTTTCTTTATTCCCACCCCTTCCCAAGACCATCCTTAGCTGTGCTCTCCGAAGCTAAGGGAAGGGGGAGCGACGGGCAGGCGGGCGGGAGGCCGGCCGGGCGGTCCAGGCGCTGACAAACACACCCTGCCTCGCCCCTCCCGAGCCCAGGCCTTTGAATATTCCCCCGCCTCCCCTCCCTCCCGAACCACCCTCCCTTCCTCCCACCTTCTCTAGGTTTTTCTGGGGCTGGGATGAGGAGAGAGGTGGGCTTTGTTAGCCAAAGCTATACAGCCATGGTCTCATTGTCAAGCTACAGGCCAGGTGTCGGGGGCTGGGGGCTTCCTCCCCGTTTCATTTTGGTTTTTATAACAATGATTTTGAGGCTAGCTTACCTTCAGATTAAGTAAAATCTTCAGGAACTTAGTTGCCACTATGTGAATCAAGCATTGATTCCAGAGCCACAACAAGTGACCTTTGGCAAGTTACGTAACTTCCCTGTGCCTCGGTTTCTCCGGCAGTAAAATGGGAATAATACGTGGTTGCCCTTTGAGAGGACATGAGTTGACCAGATTGCCTGGCGTAGCGTAAGCCCCAGTAAAGGTTGGTTATCAGTGTTACTACCACCGTTAAGCGTAGTGGGATGTCTTCTGCTGGAATCGGACGTTGCAGAGGACGCGTCCAGCTTGCACGGCGCCGCAGCGTGCACTAGGGTCTTACTTCTTTCCTTCCCTCCTAGTGGGAATGGGAAACTGGCGTCCTGGGCCTCCATCCTGGGGTTTGTGGTGATGATGTCACTGGACGTGGGCCTGGGCTAGCGCTGAAGAGCCTCGGACCCCAGGACCGGCCGCACGGGGACACGGCCACGCTTGGCTTCCACGGGACCACGGACTCTCTTCACGTTGAAACATTTGCTTTCTCTCATCTCACTTTTCCTGATTGACGCTGATCATACGACGATTTACACTTTTCTTTTGAGGGGGATACTGGTTTTAGTTTTGGAATTTCAAGGTGTTGGATTTTTGTTTGGCCGCGAGTGGAATCTCTCTTCAGTGGGATTAGAGTCCAGGGAGATCTCTGCTCTCAGACCTCCAGTCTCTCTTGCTAGACTCAGTGACAGCCCCCCCACGGTCACCTGCAGAAGCAAGCTACCCGAGAAGTCTCCTGAACGCGTGTGCCTAGCGACTCAGAACAGAACGACCGGGACACCTCTCGTCTGTCCCTCCTGATCTGCGACTGGACGTTGCGGACACAGCCGCCCACTACTCTGCAAGGCCAGCCAGCCCAGAAAGACTTACCTTCCTCGGCCTCCCCGGCGGAGATGCTGAATGGGATGGGGGCATAGCAGGGGAGAAGATCAGCTAGTCTCTCTCTCTCCCCCCCTTTTATCCCCCCCAAAGATTGACATTTTGAAATTAAGGGAATTAGGGAATTTTGACAACTGTGAACACACAGTGAGCCTGTGAAAAAAAGAGACTGTAGCTTTGGTCAGAGACCCCTGTTCTCTGTTGATTCCAAGAGCACGGCGTTTGCCATGGTTTCCAAATCCCCGTGACATTTATTTTGATAAGTATATAGCCTTCATTTTTCTAAGAGATTTGGGGACACCAGCCAACTGCTAGGACCCATGTCCTTCATTTATCTGTGGACAGACCCACTTAAGCTAACTTTAGTGAAAGGAAGACGTTTGGCCTCTGCGATGGGTCCTTCTCTGCTGGCCATTCGGTCACCTGTAACCTGACCCAGGTCTCTTAAGCCACGGCAAGCTCGGCTGGAGTTTGGCCAGAGCGCTTAGGATGAGAGAGGAGGAACAGGTGGGTAAAGGAGAGATTTTTACATTTCCCTTTTCAAAGTAAATTTTCAGACAGCCATCACTCTGACGTGGCCCTAAACAGTGACGTGAACTAGACTAGAGGCCATTCGATCCCTCCACACACGTAGCTTCTCCAACAGGGGCAAGAGAACTTAGCTGCTTCAGACGCAGCTGAGGCCTACCGTCCTCACTGGTCAGAGGAGCCCACGCACGGGACCTCGGGTGGGCTCCACGGACACGCCTGCCCTCTGCGTTTACACGTTCGACTGCTTCCCAGGGCGAGTGCCCTGCTCTGTGAACGCCCGGAGACCCCCGAGGCCAAGCTGATGCTGGGCCAATAGATGTACGTTTTTCCAAAGCACTGAAGATCAAAACTGGACACATCCAGAGGCTTGATTGGTGGAGAGGGTTTGTTTCGGTGATTGGTGTGTGTGTATTTTTGTGTCTTCTTATGTAGTTCTACATGATGTAAACTTCTTTCTGATGGACAAGACCTCATAACTGTGATTAATATTAATAAAGGGCATACTGTTGTGGACGACCCGGGCCGTGCTCAGTCCTCAAAGCCACCTCTTTCCAGGGTTGTTAGTGTGTGAGCTAAACTAAGAAGTTAGTCCTAGCGTCTTCCCTACTCAACGCCAGCAGAAGCAAAGGGAAGAGCTCAGGCGGGGAGGCGAGCTCGAGTCCAGGTTGCAGGCATCAGTATCCAAGGCCAGGCGACGTAGGGAACTTAGTGGAAGGCTACGGAGCTCACAGGACCGAAAGGGGAGCCAGGCTTGGAAACTGGTCAGACCCAAGAAAGCTGAAGGTGTGGGATCCCCACGGCCCCTCAAAATCAGCATCTCAAAATCAGCTTGGCTTGGGTGCCGTGGCCCCCAGTGCTGGTCCCCAGGTACTGAGCACCACCCCTCAGAGAACTGCAGCCCTGCAGCCCTGGGCTACCTCCACCCCCACGGGGATGAACCTGCACTGACCACCTCTCCCCACCCCCTTCAACCCTCCTTGACCTCGGAACCGTTAACCCCACCTTACTGACAGGGCGAGCGCCAGGAAGTCTGACTGCCAAGGCGACCACAGCCAGGGGCAGAGTCGGCTCCCCCACCATCCAGCCCAGAGCTTTCCAGAACCAAGGTCCTGCTGCCCCCCCCCCAAATGCTAGTGAAAGTTGGAAGCAAATGGGGGCCCAGGGGCCCTTTTCCCCTTCCTTTGGCATTGCGATATGATTACGTATGACAAAGTCACAGACCATAAGTGTTTATAGAGTTCCACCAGTTTTTACCTGCACCCCATCTCGGCCAGGTCTCACCCCCCCGCCTCGGGCTACACACGCGGGCCGAAGGTGTGATGGGACTGCCTGGCGGGCAGGGCACACAGCTGGCGCCTTGGCCAGGTGAGGCCCGGCTGCCTGCGCCCGCACGGTCCCCGTTCCCCGGGTGGAGGGAGCCTTGCCCGGCGCCGGGGCGGGTCCCGGGCAGGAGGCGCTGTTTACCTGCGCGGGGCGAGGCCGGGACCGCAGGGCGGGTCCAGATGCAGGGCGGGCGCCCCGGGGCTTGGCACAGAAGGGGCAGCGCCCCCAGGACACCCTGGGACCCGCGGTCGCCCCTCTGCTGAGGGACACAGCCCTCAGCCTCTGTAATCCTGCTGCTTGGCTACAGCGACGCCAGCCCGACGCCACAGAAGGGGCCCCTGGCATCTCCGGGCTCCCCGCTGTCTGTATGGGCTGGTCGCCCCCTGCGTGTCCCTTTCATGGCCGGCTTTGGGGGATGTGAAGTTTATACAATTTCAGGAGCACACTTTTGAAAAAATAGTGCAAAAGTACAAACACAAAATTAGGCTCAGCCTCCCCGCAGTGAGGCTTCCCCGGCTTAGGTAAGTTCACCTCCGGTCGCGGCTTCCAGAGGACTCTGCGCAGCGCAGGGCAGGGAGGCCTGCAGTGCTCGGGGGTCAGAGGCTCCTCCACAGCTTCGCGAGGCCTCTGCAGTGAATTCACTTCTCAGTCACCTTCCTAGCACCCCAGCCCCGCGGCTGTGAGAAGGGGCTGCTCTGTGTGTCTGCACAATTCCGCTTCCATTGGCTGTAACTTCGCAGGTGAAAGGAAAGGAAAGGAGACAGAGGGACAACAGGAACCCAGAATCAGAGCCCACTCCCAGGTCTGTAAGTGTACAGACCTAGGAGTCTCCCAACGAATTTTTTTTTTTAATGTACCTATATATTCAAAAGTTGTATAATCAACTTGTGTAATGAAAGCAACAACACAAATCTCGTATTTCAAAGTCAAGCCTTAACTCTCTTGCTTTGAGACCCAAACTTTAATGTTAGGGGGATGTTTCTGGTCGTGCGGAGATTAGAGCAGGGAAGGCTCTGGAAACTGGAAAGGTTCACGAGCCACGTGGTTCTCCTTCCTAAGAGCTGCTTCCTTACCCAATAAGTTATGTCTGGTTGGGAGGAGGGGTGATGCAGGGGTGTGTGTTTGTTTAAGGCAAAATTCTTGGCAAACCTATCAGGTTGGCAGGTGCTGAAAAGTAAAATCCTCTTTTTCCAAACCAGAAAAACGGATGCCAGTTTCCCATCGTTGTCCTCCCAGCTCCGTCTGGCAGCCACCTCTCTTAGCCCCCGGTGGGTCCAGGCCCCGGACACAGTGGCCGTCTGGCCATCAAGGTTAAAGGGAAGGTCATGCTTAGATCCTTCCCTCTGTGGGCTCCGTCATCCTAAATATTTATCTCCCAGAGGGAAGAGAAGGGTGAAAGTCCACGGAAGGTTGGGGTTGGGGTAGGACTGGGGTAAGGGGGCAGCTAAGGGAGAGGAGGAGAGGGAAGTGAACCGGGACACAGGTGGCACTGTTGGCACCAGTGGAGGTGAGCTCCCGGATGGCCAGACAACATGGCTTTGGGAAAAGGCAGGATTGGATCAGGTCCCTTAGATTCACAGCACTGACTGTGTCTCGGTGAGAGATGACAATGCTGATAGCGTGGCCGATTGTGATCAGCCTTGGCAGGGGAGTGCCAAGCAGGGCTTTGTGGTTTGGTAAACTGCAGCAGACAAGTAGGGCACAAGGCTCCCCGGGAAACACGCCCTTCCCTGCCCAGGGCTGCCGCCGCCCTGGGCTCAGCTTCCAGCTTCGCCTGAACCTTTTCCTGGTCAGGGAGGCTGGTCCCACCTGGAGATAACACCTATAGCACCCGGTGCTTTTCGCTGGGTCATTGACTTCCTGGGCGGCCCATGTCCCACGGATTGGTCAGCATGGATCTTCTCTTAGAGCCTGTGGGCAGGTACCAAGGGGAATCGCGCCAGCCCAGGGCCGTAGGTACTCACATGAGTCGAGAAGATCAGACCTTGCGGATCAGAAGGAGAGAGAGGGTGGCTGTTAGATTCTGGGGTTGAACTGGTTATTTTTGATATCACCTCCCTAATCTCTAAGAGCAAAAACAGCAAGAGGGAAGGACTCCGTGGATAACATCAGCTCGAGCAGCGAACGAGTTAACAGTGGGAGCACTGCCCTCTCAGGCATCCTCAGAAAAGAATGGCAATGGCCTCGCTGGGAGTGCTTGACCTGGAGGTGACTGAAAGCGATTTTTCCAGACAGTCTGCCTTTCCTTCTGCTCAAGGGGCTTCTGTGCTTGTCATCTTCTGAACCATCCCTACAGCCTTGACCACAGTGTGTCCCGAGTATAGGAACTGGCTTCGGTCCCCCCAGTCTCTATCGTGAGAAACCTGCTCCCATAGCACAAATATATGGGGAGTAATTGTCCCTAAAGCTGCCCTGGAGTCCTACCCGAAATGGTGAGCGGTTTGCTGTCTGACTCTGACAGGCCCTTTCTCACCTTTCTACTGTCCAGTTACAAAAAGCAAGACCGAATCCACGTTAGCCGCCACAGTGTAAAAGCAAGGCCAGATCTGGTCACCGGCATTACGAGGTAGACATAAATTCTGTTTTGATCTTGGAATTTATTTTTGCTCCACTTTTTATTAAGGAGAATTTGAGACCTATGCTCAAGTAAACAGAACGGTGGTACGAACCTCCATGGACCCATCACCCAGTCCCGACAGCCCGCAGCCCCTGCCAACCTGGCCCTTCACCTCCCCCTTCCTCGTTATTTTGAGGGGGGTGGAAATCACATCATTTTAGTCATAAACAGGTTCGTATATATCTCAAAAAAAGAAAAGACTTTTTTTATACCAAGAAAAAAAGAAGGCATTATGTAATTCACTTTAAATATTGCATACAAGTTATTCTTTGCCTTTAAACTGAGCCGTGGCCTTTGGCCAGAAACGATAAAAATCTTACCTGATATTATTCAGCTCAAACATCCTGTATGTCTAAGGGCGTTTGTGCTGTTCTCAAAACTCATTCATTAGCTCATTTTATTCCTATAAAGAAGCCTGTGGGGTGGGCGCAGGGAGGGAGATCCAAGGAGCATGACCGGCACAGCAGGAATCAGCTCTGAATGTGCCTGTACCCCAGAGGGTGCCAGCTCTCCCACCCCAGAGGGACAGCAGACCTGAGCCCTCCCGTCTCTCCTGTCCCCTCCTTCCGTGCCGAATGCTGGGGCCCATCTAGGTGTCCATTGTTGGAGGAAAACACTCATATATTCCTGCCTGGGTGACCGGTGGTCCTGTCGCTGGATGGGGAGTGGGGGAAAAGAGGGAGATGACAGGACAGAACAGCACAGCCAGGGATAGTTTGGAGGGCTTGTCAAGAATGTCACATAACAGCACAGTCAGCATCCACAGAGACCAAGTCTGGGTTCTCCCAGGACGCGATCCCCAAACCCCCTCTGAGCCTGCCACCTCGCTGCTGCAAAGGACGGTGCCAGGCCTTTCGGGTTGGTGTTGCCGTTGTAGCAAATCTCATCTGGGAGTTTCTACTTGCACCCTCCCTCTTCCCAGGCGGGGTTCAGGCCTTTAACCTGCCGGCCGCGTGAGCTGGGGGCGTGCACGGCACACGTGCGCTTGTGTGTGCCCACGTAGCCGGAAGAGCCCTCTGCCAACATGGGAAATGATTTTTTATTTTATTTTATTTTAAGCAGCTCTCTCGGGGCTGGTTTTGAGAAAGCATGTGTCAGAGTTTCAGGGGCACCTTCCCTGGCTCAGCGTCCCCCTTGCCCGGGTCCCCACCCTGGCTCTCAGGAGGTTGACTGACACTTTGCGTGTCAGCGAGAGCTGCCTGCCCCACGCCCGGGGCTCTGCTGGAGGATGTGGATCATAACTTGCATTGTGTGTACCGAGGGCCTGACAGGCGCTGATGGATTTGGCTTCCTTGCTGATCCCGAGCTCTGGGCGGCGACAAAGGGGAGCATTGTTTGGCGGGGCAGGCCTCTGCCTGCGAACCCGCTCATTTGCCTGGTGGTGGAGACAGGTGTATCACACGCTCGGCGTGCCGGAGCGCTGCCGGGTGATTCAGATCTTGGCCGCGTTCCCCAGGGCCAGGCTCCGGGGAGCAGATACGCAGAGGAGCGGCCGTGGTCGCTCTCCTTTCCCCGGAGCCTGCGCCCCGACTCTTCGCCGGCTCTTCTGCCCTCTGCTCCTGAAAGCAGCGTCCTG